GCTGCACTTGGCGACATCGCGATGGAAATTTAAATCAGGGTTAAAACTGGGCTCGAAATGGAGGGTCAGAGGCCACGTTGGAGGAGAATCAAAGGACTCTCGCAAGTGACGACTTTTATGCAGAAATGCCCCGCTTGAGGCGCACCGAGACATTTTTTTTTGTGGAATTAAATGCGAAGTCGAGTGGCCATCCTGAAAAAAAAAAAGAAATAATTTATCACACGGTAGGGCCTTTCTCACCGAAATTCAAAAGTTACGCATTTCTTTTGCATGCAATTAGAGTTGGAAATTTCACAGGAGTGTGTATATTACCGAAATTGTTTTACAACAAACCAGGTCGAGTTTCTCTCGAGCTAAGACGTATGATCAAGTTTGCAGGTACGCCTGCATATTGCAAAACAAGTCGCGTAAGCTGCCAGACGATGTGCCGGAAAATACGTTTACACGCTGCCTTGGTATGTCGTTCCGCGGAGTATGCAATAATGCACTGCACCTCGTAAAAGCATGTGCGGAAAACGCACCATAGTCGATGCTGACGCATGCTCGAACTTTTCCTCTCGGCTAGAAAACTTCGTTTCACCCTTAAAAATGCCTTACCCGGTGCAGGGAAACATTGCTCGATTTACCAATTTTCTCTGATAAGCGAGATCGAAACCACTCACCTGTACTTCTTCTAACATTTATTAAAACGGGAAACGATTATTATTAACACGAAGATGTTCTGCCTTGTCCGTGCTGGGATGCGCCGAGGTTCTTGACATGCGCCCCAGGAAATTGAGTCTCGGGAAAAGTGACTAATATATTCCGGAAATCCCCCTATCATTTATCCGCGCTACTATCAGAGCAAGCGCAACACCGAAACACGCGGCTCTACGTGTCTCTGATTACTCGCGGTGCATCCTACGGCTTCGTAGCGACTTCATTAGACGTGGCATGGCTTCAGGATCCCCCTGACTACGGTAAATCAGTGGAGACCCTTCCTACCGAACTTCGGATTATTTCATCGGGTCGCAGAAGAAACACCGAAAGTTCGCAGTTCGCCCGGATTAGGGGATCCCGAATCAGAGACCGGAAAGGCAACGTCGACTGTACCCCTAAATACTGGCCAAACCCTCGATTTCCTCCGTTCCGCGGAAGCAAAAAAAAAATGAAATACTTCCTAATAAAATTCTAGGGAATTTTTCTTTACTTTATGGGAATAATGTTTAATGTTCTATGTTACTAATCGTGCTCGTGGAAATCTCTGGCGGGGTGAATTTTCATCAATTTGTCCGGTGGATCCGAATCGCAGGGCTCGGGATCAAAATCGCTCGCATGTCCTCGTTATCCGTAGACATGTCTCCCGATTCGATTTGCTCGTCAGGATAAATTCAGAGGCACCTAGGAACGAGCCGAACCGCCGGTGGGAATTCGCGTATTACCGCAGAGACTTATCCCCCTCTGACAAATTAATCGGCCGGTGTTACCGAGTCGTTAATGGAGTTTCCGCGACGTAACTATGCAAACCGAGGGAAGTATGCACGCGTACGAGGGAGGCTGGTACACCTGAAGTTTGGCAGGGCCAAACGTGATTTCCGAAAACTTCGGAACTGGCCGCGACCAAGAGAACCATTGTCGAATTATCGGCTCGATTTAATGACCAGAGGTACCCCCGTTGGCACGCAGTGCGCGAAACTTGGCGCTAATGGCTAATTAAATCAATCAGTAACTACTTGTAACCAGCGATAACTATTACTCAAGCCGATGATAGTCACTGATAGCTTCTAGTCCCAAAATTCTTAAAACCTTGAAACATATCGTCGAATTGCACCATTTTTCTTCCCGAAATGATCCCTGCAAATTCTCCGATGATTCGGGTGGATGTTTCGTGACAAAATAAATTTCGTCGTGTTTGATTCTTGTTTTTTATCCATCGAAGGACAAAATTGAAATTTACAGCGTTGACGGGACATCCAATTTCCCGGCGTCTTTATTTTCGCCGAAGTCGCACACCGGAGCAGCCTTCATCACGGGGCGAATTTCATCCCAACGCGGATACAAGATGAAGCGAGGAGCGCCTCGTCCTTCCGTATATACGTATTTCCTCGAAACTCGAAAATAAAACGGTTTTAGGTCCTCCCGTTTTCCCGGCTCATCCCATCTCTCGCCTGAGTACGTACGAAACACTGGGAAGGTGTTTCGTCGCCCTTCCGCGAGACTGTCACAAAGCCGACGTCGTTGCAGGAGCTCTTCCCGTAATGCCGCCCACTACGCCGTCAATTAACCATTTCCAGTGCAATTGCTTCACTCCATTCAGCCGGAAAACAATTTTCCCTGCGAGGGCAAATTGACTTCGGAAGAGGTCCTTTCAGGGCGCCCTTTTAGAAAAAAATAGCTCCTTCAAAACGGGGCCCATCTTTGACGGATACCTATCGACCGCCATCTTTCGTCATTTTCTCCCCTCCACCTGTTGCACTTAAAATGATACATTTATAATTAAGCATCGGAATGAAAAATCGGTGTCTCCGTCGAGAATAAAATAACTCGCAGTTGGGGTTCCACGCAGATAAAGAAACTTTACTTTGTTCGATGCACGGTAGATGGTCGGCAAATATTTTTGCAGCTCCTTTGGGCTTCCATATGAGACAGCTATGGGAGGTCTCGGGAGTGGCGGTGGGTCTATGTGGGGTGATCACCCCTCGCTTCGGAAACGTACGCGTTTTATGCGTTTCCGTCCTACGGCCAGGTTCGCTTTTCTAACCAGAAGTCGATACCTCCACGTCGCGTGACGTTACTACCCGGTAATGCCACCTCGGGGAATACGGAGGGTCTCCATCTTACTTCTTGTAATTTGCACCTCCCTCGTCCGGCCGTAAGGGCTAGTCCAACTTGCGGAGTTAGGGTGGACCCTGGGAAAATGAAAGTCCCATCTTATTATGTCCTTGGACCGTCCATTTCGCCCCGGAAATGGCTTCAATCTTCATCCCGAAAATTCGGGCCTTCCTGCAGCGGAAGTCTTGCACCGAGGGAGGCGAAACGTTCCTCCAGGGAGTAATTATGGTTTTGTTCCTGGCAGATAATCTCGTAACCCGATGTACCACCCTCAGGTCCGTCGAAACGGGGCCAATTACAATCGGAATAGAAAACGATGAAACGATGGAAAGCCCCGAGTGCGGATGGAAAATATTACAGGCGACCAGGAAATATCTGCAAACGCGGTACGTTTCGCAGTGCACAACGTTTTACAGACCCTGATCGAATTTTTGTAGCATCCGTAAACTCGGTGCCAGTAAACTTCCTCGAAGCGTGCACTTTCAACGAGGTACATGCAGCAAGTGACTGCAACCTTATACACAGTCGCGTTGCACCTGCAACCTATCCCGTTGCAGTTTATGAAAACTCCCAACTCGAGGAATTCTTTTCTCCCCTAATAACATCTGGGAGGAAATGTGTACCCTTTCGAGCCTTATCAACGACTCGGATAATATTAATATCCTCCGGAAAATATTAATAATAATTTCCAACCACCTCGAGGAGGGTACATACCCCGTATGTTCCTCTACGTGGGATCTTAGAACACCTTTGAATAAATAATGCTGCCGTATGCGTAAATACCCAAATCATGGCATTTGGGCAATAAAGTACATCACGCGTGGTGTCCCAGCTGGGTTACTCATTAAACGGTCATATTTTCCGACGGGTCCGAATTTCTGCATGGCATTTCCATGCGAATCAGCCCACGGCGGATGCATCATCGGTGCATGTCCGGCGCCATATAGGGCACTAACCGATTATTAACATTTGCTCGATGTCATGCTCTGTAAACGGTTATTGTTCTCCAGTCCGTTGTCGCCGTAAACAGGGCAGCACCGCCATGACAGATAACGGCAGCCCAGCATCCGACCACTAATACGGAACGTCCTTAGACGCGTTTATGCCGCAATCTGGCCGCCGTCAAATCCAGGCGAGCACGTTGATCAGATCCTTCGAACGCAGGCAGATTTCTTGCGCATGCACCCTTCCGAGGATGTTATTACTTGCTACCTGTAAACATAACATACAGACCCGTCGTGAGTACCTGACCAGTCGGTCCAGAGGAATTATTTTCCCGGAATTTCTTCATTTAAAGGTTTTTCCATGGGAGAGGAATTTTTTAATTCCCCGCCACGTACGATTCAGTTTCGCGTCCTTTTCATGGGAAAGCCCTCGCATACGTTTCCTCCTCTCCAACTGCGTCCGATAGCTCGTTCGCTCACATATCGCGGCCAGGACGGATCGTCCCATGCGTCAGCGGGAATTATAACCTAGCTGCAAAGTGCAACGCTGCAGGTGTACAGGGCCCGCGATAACGCGTCCAATCTACGGGCCAGGAATTTCCCAATTTATTTCGACCGCCCCGAAAACGGAGCTTTCGCCATCCGGACGCTTCAGGAGCCGGATCAGGGTTTCTAATTACTCGCGTTTAATCCTCGAGGTGTAATTTACGCGGCCGCACTTGCACTTTCGAAGGCTACGTTTTTTCGAAATTTCGCGCCGAGGGTGGTGCTTTTGCGATGGTCGATGTATAGCTTTCTTGCCGAAGGAAAAGAATCGTCGGTGGCGAATCATGCCAATGCGGATGTCAATGGCGCCAACCGCGGGCGCGGAATGGATTGATCCGTCCTCCGGCTGCCTCGCTCTCGATTGCTCCTCGTGGATATATTTTCACGAGTCGTTTCCCTCGTATTCCTCGGCGTCCCTTTCGAGCTAGAGTTCGCAGGAAGGAAAACACCCTCGGATTGGCTCCGCCATGTTTCTGCAACCCCCGGTGAAGGAGGGTCGCGATCTCGCCGATAATCTCGACGAAGAGGAGGATTAATCTCCGAGTGCTCCGAAGCACTTCCGACCTTAGGCTTCCTCTTCGAGATCCCTGACAAAGTTTCGAAAATACAATACTTGGGAATTTGTGCCGTCGATCGGTTTCGGTGAGGGATTTTCGTGCCGCTGGAATTTTTGTTTCAATTAAATTTATTCGGTTTCAGGAGCATCCGGGGCTATGATGGCGATCCAGGACCCCGTTTACCCGAGGCTGATCGTCGCCGCGTCACACACGGCACTTTCTGGCGACCTGGCTGTCATGATTCTCGCAATGTCGACTACCGACAGATCGACGACAGTTCCGACGAGCACGGAAGACGCCGATATTGTCATGGAAGGAGATGGCGAAGGAGATGCGTCAGAAAAGTTCGGAGCCGCGTCACCTGATCCTCTGGTCATCAGGTCAGCTGATGAGTTTTCAGTAACATAATCTAGCTTATTAAAATTACTCTTCGCGTTACGATTACTGATATCGTCGTAGCGGATAAGAAAATACAGATCCCCGCTCCGGAAGAAATATGGAAGAAACCTAAACATAAATTTGTCTGCGCAAGATGTGGCTCTTCGGATCTACGAGGGCTCTTGGCGGGCCAAAGCTTCAAAGATTTACATCTCCGCAGACGTATTCCGCATCTCGGTGGATTTCTTAAAGTTCCGCATTACTCTTCGTCTCTGGACCAGCAACTGCCAGTCACTCAAAGCCACCGAGGAGCTCTCGCGATTAATCGCAGTTGCAATTGCTCTTTGCGAGTTTGCATCGGAGCTGGTCCAACGTCGCGTCCTTTTCCCTCCGCTCCTTAACCACCGACATGAAAAAATGTTTCCGACCGACCATCCATCACTTGGGATTTCCTGAGACCTCCTCCATTCGGGTTCTCCTTAATTTAAGCATTCTGTTATAGAATTTTCACGGAATCAAATTTTTTCCTGCCGACATCTCTGCAGACGTCCCAACCGCTTCCGAGGAAGCGACCAATGGGACAAACCGGAGAGCTTCCGCGATTAATCGCGTTTGCAATTGCTCCAGGGTGCTGCGTTTAGACGGGTTTATGTCGGAGCTGGTTGGTGAGGTCCCCGTAAAATGCACCCCTTCTGCTGGGGGCAATGTATCCCTGATGATACCCTGCGGATTCTTCTCCCGGGGAGGGACCTATTCCCTGCAACTGCAGCAGAAGTCGGCGCCACACCATCCCAAGTTGACCGACATTGCGGACCTACACGATCTTCAGGTCCTCTAATTTTTAATGCTTTAATATTACCAAACGATATAATAATTAATGCATCGTAACGAACGATACCGAATCTGCGGGAGCCTACTTCCCCTACACGTGGTGACGGAAGTTTGGATACCTTGCAGATGAGGACCACCTTGGACGTGAGATGGCCAACGCCTTCCTTATCTCTGGAGCCCCAGCACTTCAAGACCTACCCTGATCAACCAGTTTTGGCCACCCTGGAGTACACGGGAATCTCTTGTTCGGCCTCACCGGGGGTTCCAATCACATCCTACACGCTGCAGCTGATATATTGCGGCGCCAGCGTGCTCTCATGTGATCCCAGAAACAAAAGCCACATACAGGTTGGCATCTGCAAGTGTCCAGAACTTACCAAATTCCCGACTCTTTCTCCCTGATGGTCCCGAGGAATCTCGACATTCTGAACTCTGCCACTCGGGTGTCTAAACACAACCACATAACGCCACGTCCTATTCGATGCGACAGCATCCTGCCACGTGATAACGCAGATCCTATAATCTTATTCCGTGGCGATGCATCGACGTCGATAGTCGCTTCTGCAGCTCCATCAAATGGTATTAGAGACTCGATAATGTGGACGCAAAGACGCGGATACCGAAATTGACGTTCTCCACGTCCTGTGTGTCGTTTTTACGCGCCGTAATGGAATTCATTATCAGAGGAAATTTTTTAACGCGATCCTCTTTCAAGGGGATCCGATGGCGCTGTCCTTTGCGGTTCCCGCTCAATCACCCATTAAAATTGTTCGTTTTCAGATGCTCTACTCGGAAGAGGTCAAAGGGTTTCCTGCTCAAAGGGTCGTTACACTGCGGTGCGAATTTTTCGGAATGGCTGGCCACTATGCTCTCAGACTGAAGCCCTCTGATGCTAATCCAAGCGCTCCTACGAGCAGTGCTTACATCAAGGTGAGCACGCAAAGGCGCTTATGCCGACGTCTTGTGACAGAAATCTTGTGCATCCGTCCGATTACTCGATAATCGAGCGACCTCCCGAGAATCTACCCCCTAGATATCCGTATGCACTTAGGCGATAAGAATCTCCGTAATCCAACGCGCCTGCCTGGAAATAGGGACGATTACTAATTTTCATATCGTCGTTGGATACGAGGAAAAAAAATGAGAAAAGAGGGTAAAAGCGTTTCGATGGGATTATGCGTACTAAGTGCATATGTTGGGAGTATTTGTACATCTTAAGATAGTGGAAGCACGCGTTTTACTTTTAAAATGAATCGTTCGGCGGTTCTTTATTTGCTCCACTTTTGTTTTCATTTTCCCCCTCGGAGCAGTTCCTTTTTCTTTCGAGCTTTTACTTCCGCTTTTCCCCTGTTTACTGCGAGCGCCATCCATTTTCTCCTTCTTTTAGGTCACTTAAGATATCCTTCACTGTCGACAGGAATCTTTCATCAAGCGCATTAGTGTTTCTCCCTTTTCTTCGGGAATCCTGAAGAAAGTTTCACTCTCGTACAGACTGAATACATTGGACGAGATTTGCAGGATGGTAAATGGAAGTGGATAGAACTTCGTCATGATTTAAGAACAAGAGGGATTTACGGATTTTCCTGAATACGAATTTTTAGATTATCTTGAATCATGCATCGTTATGGATTTCCAGAAAGATAACTGGGTCATGGATTTAGAAAGCAAATCTATACGGAATAATTTCCAAATATTTCAGAAATTACTCGCACCGCGTAGAGCATTCATTCGACGATCATTGAAATTCTCGTTGCATGTCTGCAAATATTTGTGAGACGCGTATATCCGCCTTTGGCAATAGTAGCCTATTTCCAAGTCAAAGATTCGCTGGAAGCTCCATCAATTCCGAAACGAGGTCTACCCTTTATCAGCCGCATTCTGGGCCACCTCGTAACTCGTAACAAACTACTCCGAGCATATAAACTACGAGCTAGTCAATGGATACCCGGTTTGAGTTTCGCGGCCTTCCTAAATTTCCAAATTAATTTCGAATTCGCCCTCTAATCGAGTTCATCGCAAAGTCAAACTCTCTAAGCGCTGATCGCAGGAAACACGGCTTAAACCAGTCCCTTGATCATACGTGTACAGTGTAGACGCCAAGGCATCTCGAGTTTCCTTGGTAGATTGATGTAGATTATTGTATCGCGTACCTAGTACTCAAGACCTGGAATGAATGAAACAGGAAACAAAGAACTCAATCTAGAAAATTAGCGGATAATTTGCTGCGGGAAACTTTTTCAAAAGGAGTCCAAGATCCACTCATTGAGCGCGTTCCCTCCCGAGCCTGTTCTTTGCCCAGACGCGTAAGGGAAATAATATTAAAATTTTTAAAATACCTCAACGAGGTTTCCTCGAGAGGGAGGCAACACCAGGCCGGAAATTAAAATTCCAACTCACATGCGAACCCTTAAGCTTGGGAATTCCTGCTTTGCGGAAATCCTTCGTACGTGAAGTGTCGTTCTCGGCCTCTTCCTCATCGTCGAGCGCACTCTAATGTTCACTTACACGAGCGGTAATTTTTTCGGTGCTGGGTGCAGCCTGAAGGGAAATTTTAGGGGCGCGTTAATTCGATAAAATAGTTGAATGCAGAGAAATAATAAAAATTATTGTATCGTCATTTTTGGCTGTTCCAGGTCGAGTGGTCCAACCAGTTCGTCTTCAACGTGCACGCGAGATCGGTGTACCCCTGCGACGACGGTACCGGGGGGGTCTCGGTACTCTTCGAGTACCCATCTTGTCGTCTTCAGGGTGATCGAGTTCGGGTCTATGGTCGCCTCAGGGCAGACGTGGCCTCCCTTGCGCCGCCCTCCACCCTGCATTACGTCGCGGAATTAAAAGCACCCCCAGGGAAGCACACGCTCACTTTCAGCTGTGACATCTTCACCGAGAGATTCGTCGAGTACTGCTTCGTCTACGTCAGCAAGGCCATCACCGGGGCCATGTCCGAGGTCAGGGTCGACTGCATCCCCACCTTCCCGCTTCAAGGTCAGTTTTCCCTCGAATTTCCCTCAATCTACTACACAAAGGATCGATAATGAAATTTCCCCCCGAGGATGAAGCACAAGAATGGGGATGGAAGGACGAAAACGCCACGTTAAGCGTCACCCTTCCATAAATGCCGGAAAACTCTCTCCCCCCGATTTTAATCCAAACGTTACATCTACAAATTACACGCAACTCCTCTCTTTGCTCTCAATTAAGAGTGACCATTTACGTTTTCGCCCTTCAATTATCTGTCCGTCCGATCGAGTTTCCAAACTAGTTACCAGACCAGTCAACGATCTGTTGTACAATTGCGGGTACATGAAGTACATCTACGCGCACCCCCGACATGCAGATAATTCCAGGCGTCGACCTGCCGTGCTCGACATGCTGGGGAAAAAAAAAAAGAAAAAAAGGAATCGACCATTTCGATGAAATGCCTCGTCGTTCGTGTCCTCTCGAATAATACATGCAGAAGCGCCGTAAATGTTTCATTTCGAAATTAGGCACTCTCGGTTATATTTAGCCAGCGTTTGAGGGTGTGTACTCGCGGGTCTGCTACGAGGGCGGAAAAGTACACGCACATTTGCCAACCCTGTCGGACTCTTTATCGATTACGCGTTACCCCTCGGGTTATGCCAGTGATTTTCGTTGCCGATGTCCTTTGTGCTCCCTCTCTCTCTCGTCCTCGAGAGTCCTCCCTTCATCCCCGCTTCCGAAATCAATGCTTGCCCAGGATGTGCTCCGGTCTGCGTTTTCGTGTTTTAATCCAAAACCGGACATCGCCATCGCCGTAAATCACTTCGATTTAATTTTTCGACGATTCGCATTCAAAAGGGCAGATCGTATCGAAATTTATCGTCGACGCGTGTCCCGCGCTAATGTTCAACCCCGAGCTTTTCTGGAGTTTTGCATACCCTAACAATTGTTCACGAGAAGATTTGATAGGTTCTTATTCATATTGAAAATGATGTTCGAACAATTAACCAAGAGCCATTTACCAAGTCTTGATAAAAATTAATCTGCATGGACTCATTTTCCACGTCGCGCTAAATTCATTTTTATATATTTTTGGAACGGTAATATCTCAGTGAGACGTGTTTCCTCTTCCATCTCTAACCCCACTGGCAATGTTTAACCTCTCCTTCGAATGCTTTGATAAATGATGCAGATATCATAATTATAAAAGATGAAGCCGGGAAGAAATAAGTCTCAGTGGAAACCCACGAAAGGGGACTCGAGGAAAAAGTCTCGAGGGATAAAAAGCTCAGGCGGAAAACAATAGCTCTTGTAAAATTTAGCCATTTGTGTCGAGCTAGGTGATGCTTTTGAGTGATGGTGGACAAAAAAGATGGCCTCCTTAAAAACCCAGTTCAAGTCCGTCCTCCACCCAGAAAAGGAGGATTTCGTTCGAATCGATACAAGAAGGTGTTTAGCCGGGACCAACAACGTTAAACTACACGACACGATGGAAATTGGCAACAAATACCTCCAGGACCTCTGTTAGAATCAAAGAACTTCGGTATTGAGCTGACTCGGGGCCCCATGGTTCGCAAACCCAAGTTTGCATATGCGAATGTGCCTCCACCCTTGTTGAAGCTGAACCCCCAAGGGAAACGACGATAATTCGCGCAAGGCGAAATCGATCGTTAGAGGGTCCTAAGTACCTAGGATTGACGGACCTAAACGTGATCGCGATCGGCGTGGACAGGAATTAATAAATACTCGTCATATGTCTCGATAAGCTGCGCTAATCTGGACGTTATCCCTGCCTACCGATTAGTCGGATAGAGAGAAATGAATTAACGATTTGCATCCTGCGTCGTTACGTACGTCCTTACTGGGGGAAGTTGGAGATGAGCCGAGCTCGTCCCCTACTTAGCCGCGTTTAACATCGGTGTATCCATAGCTATTGTTAAAATACCAGTAGGTCAAGACACCTGACTGACATTTTGGCATGCGAGCCTCGAGGAACGTAAGAGATCGGAACTTTCGGGAAGAAGTTTCCGGCCATTGTCATTCGGGTCACCAGGAAACGGGGATTCTTCCTGCTCCCGAATCTTAGGGATTCTGGGGTCGAACGTTAGATTTGTGGACAGTGGACTGTCGTTGGACTTGACAAAGTGAATCTCTTTCTTCTCGTTCCTCTTGAGGGTGCGCAAGAAGTGGAGGAGCTTCTTATACGAAAGTTCTTCGGCGCCCTATCTTGTGATCGGTGGGGACCACGTCCCAGTCTCTGATCAGTCTCCACCCTTAGAAATGGTCCTTCCATTTGTCTCCAATTTTTTCATTACGTATTCATTGGCTCGATAAAATCCTGTATTTTATTAAACGGCAGCCGATGTAACGAGAAGGCGACCCTGTATGTCTTCCGGCTTCCCGTTTGGTCCTCGAAAATGCAAGGGTGCTCCAGGACGAAGACGAGGGAGGACTCGTTAGAATTACGACGCCCAAATTCATTCTCCTCGCGGATGACTTCCCGTGACGGAATTCCACTTTCCGGGGATCTTTTTCCCACGGAGAGACGGCAACTTACACGCCGGTTTAATTGAATTCGAAAGATTGTTTATCCCGTGGATTATGAAGCGTTTAATTACACCCGCGATATCGTGCAAGAATAAAGTTGCGCGGAGGGAAAGTTGGGGCCGAAGGAGTCGAGGGGCGCTCCCTTTTGCTCCGGCGTTTCGCATAACTTTCGAGATTGGAGGCCTCACTTGGTTTATTATCGGAATAAACAAGATACCGAGGGAAACTCCCGTTAAAACAGTTAAAACTGTAGCGGACTACATTTACCCTCGTTGGAGCATCGCCATGCCCCGCGCAAAGGCAGCTTCCGATCCTGAGTAAACGTGAAGCACGGTGCACCGTGAAAAGTGCACCATACTTTGTCGGTTTAATCAAAATTTCGAGTTTTCAATCTCATTTACGACGAACTCGCTCCAAGGACCCCCCTCGTTCGCGTCCTACTAATGATGTCAAAGAAGAATTGGCTATTTTCTTTCAATTATTTTCTGCAATTAGAATTAGTCGAATCCAGGTGAAGTTGCTTTTGTTAGCGCTCGGATCAGCTCGCTCGAAATTAATCCAATTTCGTAACTAGTTTCCATCTTTAAGTCCTATCACGAGTCAGCAGCCTTCCCAGAGCAGGGACGAAAGCATTATTTAGGAGGAACTTGATGAGAACCGAGGAATCTGGGGAGTCACTTAATCTACTCCCGCTACCATTTTCTGCGCCATGTTAATTCGTATGCTACTTCATTAGCAAATTGTTGGATAAGATTTATTACAATCACGCGAATGGTTCCTTTTTAACGTAAAACAGAATATTACCTAGAAACTTAACTTCTTCTCGAAGAAAGTTATATCTCCGCCTCGATTGGACAGTTTCTTGAAATTCTATCGCTTGGTCCATTCACCGTCGCGTTATCTGGCAACGGGAAGGATCTCATTATCACTGCCTGCTCAATCGTTACAAATCCGAAGATGCTTACGAGGTACAATTTTCTATTTTTATTTTTCACCTTTAAGAATCTTAACGACAATCGTTCTTTGGATCTTGGTGCTAGGAAATGTCCGATGTCGCAAACAAAAAAAATTTATTGAATCCTGGTCCTTCTTCTGGATATCGCGAAATCAATCCCGGAAAAGGGTCGGCTAGGCTATACGATATCGGCCTCGGGACTTTTTGAAAAGTTTCACCAAGCTCGATCAATCTGGCTACGTCGATTCCCGAGATATAGTCTTCTCGAGTTCATCGTCCGTGAATACATCGCAAGGGATAATACGGAAACTGGCGTACCGTAAGAACTTTATCGGAAATTAATCGTTCTCCGTTCGGCCATAAAATGGCCGGAAGAGGTCTTCCCCAGTAGCCAGTAACTCTTGCCTGGTCTTCCTCTAATGGTTGCATTCATTCGGTGCAGCGCCAGCTTAAGGACCAACAAGGAGCCTCGCTGAAATTACGAAAAATTATACGGCTTCGCTTCTCTGAGGTCGTCGCAATTTCCCCTCGTCCCGGAAAATCCCTTAACCGCTGAAAATATGACTCGCAAGCCTCGCAATAACGACTATAAAAGGGAAAGAAATTATTTTACAACCCTTTTTTTCGCATTTTTAGCTACTCTCGTTCGTAGAAAACTCTTCGACGGATGGAAATACATTACGAGTATGGAAATGCGTTTGTAATATATATATTCGAGAATTTTTGGCACTCGAGTCGCGGAGCTCACTTCCGGCTGAATATGTCCTTTCCGAGTCGCCTACAGGAGACGTCCTTTTTTCAGCCTATTGTTGAAAGCTAGACAAAGTGGCACAGAATTCCATTGTTATTGTTGACGCAGGGTTAAAGCGTTTCCATTATTGTCGGAGCTTCGAAACCGAGTGGGCAGGAGGTTTTGTGAAGTTCGCCCTGAAAAGACGTACTTGAAAAGCAAAGGACAATCAGTGCTTGCTTGACGCAGGATTCGGAATGCCACCGATTTGGTGCCGTTCCTGAAAGTCACGAGTAAATTAGTCGATACCTTTAGAATTCCAAAGTTCAGCGTTAAAATAATCTCAACTAAAAAATGCCCTTCAATGTAATTTCTAAATTCCACCTGCAACTTCGTGTACGCATATCCTGGATACGCTCGGAAGGACTCGGAGCTCTTCCTGAAATCATGGAATAGAATAAGAGTCGACTGCGTATACGAACACCAATTCGCATAATTTAAACTAATTTACAAATGCGGCAAATAAAAATGTTTCGGCATCGAGGAGAAATATTTATCCAAGAATGGCAGAACTTGAGTACGAGCCACTGGATTTTCTTTCCATAGCAGTGGAGAAGTTTGCGATCGCCGCAAAACTCTGAACCGACCGAGCTCAAAGTTCCAGGTCATACGCGAAGGGAAGTTTATGGCAAACATTCTTGTACTCATATCGCAGTCATGACTTATACTTCTATTACGCGCCCGGAGTCCGACCGCATTGTAAGATGTATCGCGTTGCGGTGACATCTCGGGGTAGTAAATTAAATTTTAAAACACGGCGCGACACTTGGCGTCATATTAAAGGCGTACGTCAGGAGTGCCGGGAAATTATGTGCATTTCAAGCATCGACCATTTTTCCATCTATTATTAAATTCACCTCCCCGTGGGTAATGCTTCTTCGGCGTAGGAATTTCGCATTTCCCGGTGGCCATTACGCCACCGGTTAACGCGACTCCTCTCCAATTCTCGAAGAGCCGAGCCTAAAGGCTCCTAATCGATACGGAAGGGCCGAATTTGCCTTGGGTTTCGCCAACGGGGTAATTCACTCGCGGATGGCCATTTCCGCGTAACGGCCCCGGCGTTCCCCGTAATAAGCCGCAAACGTCGTCGCAGAGGCGGCGAGCATGTCAAGTGCCGTGAAAACCACTTAAGCCCGAGCGATTTGCGCAAACAGTCCTCCTCTCCCGAAATGGGGCTCTTTTTTCCCCAGGAAGCGACCCAGATTTTGCGGGACAAAGAGAGGGACCGGAGCTTCCCGCAACCCTTCCGATTGGATGGCTGGCTCCTTTCCGCCCCCGACAAGGTGGCGCAGAAACCCGCAGTTATCGTTCACGTCGTCCAGGAATCGTCGAAATTCCTTCATTGCCCCGAAATTCCGGCTCCCCGAACTTCCGAGTGCCAGACCTCTCCGGCTGAACTTCGCCGGTTCACCCTAGAAAGGGAATTTCCGGGTTAAAAATAGGGATCCCTTCCATGGGGGGAAATATCCCGGAGGTTCAGATTCCGCTCCATAAAAAAAGCAGAAAATATTATCGCAACCCTTATCGCATCGGTTGCGTGAGTTCCGAAGGACGAGGGCTCTTCCCTTGACGGAGGAACCTTCCCGGAAGTGTCCCGGGGAAGGATGAGGGTCCTTTGTAACCCGCGAGGACTGCTTCCCCCTGCCGAACACGCCACCGTGGTCGATAATGTTAATTCACCCCCGACTCTTCGCGGGGGGTGCTACTCGCGTTTCGTCCGAGCGCCTTTGCTCCGTCATTGTGCAGAAGTTTACGTAAATTGCGCGCCACGGGGATGTATTATGTATTCCCGGTAATACGCAGTTCCGGGGCTGAACGCGCTCTTTCTGAATTTCCAATGCAGGGAATCAGGGGACGCTGCGGGGGGGAAATTTTCGTACTTTCGGAGGCCCCGCAACTTTGATCGTACTACTTTAATTCCCAATACTTAAGCACGGTGTTTCACCCCTCTCCCTCGAGAAATAATCGCCATTACTCCACTCCCCCGAATTTATGTATAATATAAATACCCTCGAATAGCCATCCCTTTAACGAGAAAAGGGATTATTAAAAGTACGTTCCATTAATTTCTTACATTCACGTGATTAATTAGCTCGCACTCCGTCAGAATGGATGGGAATGAAAATGTTAATTGAACGGGGGAAGCCGACGAAATTCGAGGAATTAGACGACAATTCGATTTCAATTGCGCATTGGGCGACGGGGACCGGAAGCGGCGTTAAAAGAATTATCCTTAATTTGCATCTAAACTGCACTCGTTCTTAAGGCAGACGGATAATCGTTTCCAGGGGGAATGGAATTTTGTATGAATTACCCTTCCACAAGGGTGGCCGAGCGGAAAACTATTACGCGGAGGGAACGGCGCCGAGAAAATGTTCCTTGAGGGATGCGGAATGCTTGAGGTGACGCGGTGGAATCTCCATTTTTTGTCCCTAAGCTCGAAAAGAATTAAATCGAGGTCAATATTCCAGCTCGGCGAGTACCACGTTTGTACCTCTTACGAGCTGCGTTAATTCACCTCGCTCCCTTCGATTTTTCATCCCCTAATGGCTGACGGTGAAATTCCTCAAAAGCTAGCTTTTCCGAGTCCGTCTAACAACTTCGGTTAGTTTAATTGACAATTAGCATAAGATTAACGCTCGTCCACGCGAAAACTTCCTCGACGTGCTCTGGGAAGCATTAGCCGCCAATTGTGTACGGTCGCTTCGACAATTTCCTCTGAAAAATTCCAATGAAAATAATAAACCTCCATTTGCGTTTCAGGTACAATCTATAATTGCAAGGAATTAATACCCTGATCGATTAACATTTCCTAATTAAATTCGAAACCGGAGAAGTGTTCTCGACCATTGACCATGGACGGAAGACCTCCAGGGAACACCTGAGAATTTCTCGCCCGCAATTTAAGCTTTTATTTTACTTAGCGATTAACGCGCGGCTATGATGAATAAAAATAAATCTAGGTCATTTTTAATTGCATAACACCGACGTGCGCACACGGCTCCTCGCGGAAATTAATAAACTGCCGCTCATTTTGACGCCGTTTCGCGATTTCACCCTCTTTTACCGGGGACACGATCGACGTTCCCTGGTACATCGGTTTTTCGACAGGCCGTTTATTATCTTCCTTAAAAAGTGATGTCGCCCAATCCGGGGTCCCGTCGACCCCGTTTGCCCGAATTTGCGAGAACACCCCCTGCGATCCCTCGCCCTGGCTTGGCAATAAATATCCGTCCTTTCGGATGATGCACGAGACTTGGTCCACAGTTTACCGGAAGTTTACACGGTGTTACGTCACTCGCTTCACTGGTACCTCGAGGTTGCATCCATTTTTAGCAAGAATCACTTGTTTTCGCAAAAAGAAGGAGCCGACGCGTTCCGGGTACCTCCTATCCCCCCGGAGCTTCACGCCTCGGGGGATTTTTCAATATCTCTACGGAGAGGGAGCGTTTTCGCTTCCGATATTTCCACCCCCGCGGAGACCTTTCCGGGTAGGAGGTCCTCGGTTTCCGGCACCTCGAGAAACACCAGCATCAATATTTGCCCTTTGAGATGGAACGTAACGCGTCTGCATTATTGGGAGCAGCGAAATTTCACGCGGTATTTGGCCAATCGAGGGATCGCTCCTGGGATTAAAATGCGAAGATAATGATTTTTCATCTCGTTTTTGTATACGCTACGTGCAAATCGTGTGGGTGAATTATTTGGAAGTATTTTCTGGTGTTTTTAGAAGGGGGTGCCGGTGGGTGGGGACCCTGGAGCCAATGGACCCCATGCAGCACCTCCTGCGTCGGCGGTACCAGGAATCGTTACAGGTTTTGCGATACCCCACCGCCGCGATATGGCGCGAAATTCTGCCAGGTGAATTCCCAATTTGCAATCGATCGATCACCGATCGGCCGGGAGAAATTCCCCACTAAACCGTATCTCCACCCGTCAGGGAAAAGCGGTCGAAACGGAATCCTGCGGCGGAGCCAGTCAGCTGGATCTTCACGGGGCTTGGAACCCTGGAGATTGGGAATGTCGGCACGGCAAAGGATTGGCCGCGGAAAGACCGGAAGTAAACGCGGAAGTTGGAACGAGATGTCGGTGCGGGTGTGTCGTCAATTTGGGAGAAGATAATCCGAGGAAAATCTTGGCTGCCAGCACCCAGGCGTGCCCTGGACGCTCCTTCTGGCTTCTTCAGGTAAGCCCGAAGAAGTCCTTCCTTCGAATCCCTCGGAGGAAATATTTCTCAAACCCCGAAATACCGTAGAAAAGTCAATCGTATGCTAGACCGAGCGTCGTTTGAAGAGCTTCCTGGACTCTTAACGTTGTATGAATTTATAATGTCCTTTTACTCAAGGCTGAGCCGCAATACGCGGTGAGACTTCATCTGGACCAGGCTAGGTTTCCTTGTCCGGGACAATATGTCCGCGTTAGAGATGGTGATTCCCTCAGCGCCGAACTCCTGGCAGATGTAGCCTTCGACAAAAACGCTCCAGAAACTGGCACGGTTATATCCTCGGAACGGAGTTTGTTATTGGAGTTCTTCAGCGACGAGATGGAGGCTGTTGGAGAGTCCTGCGTGGGAGGCTTTTTGGCTCACATCACGATGTACCGTAAGTGCACGAGATCCGCCCCTCTGGACATTTGGAAAAGAGCTAGGTTTTGCAAATTCTCTTGTCACGTTTAGAGCGAAACCCAGCCCTGGCCGCTAATTGCCTCAGTCGAAGGTGTTATGAAATTCGAACCGTAAATGTACACCGGATATGCGAATGTCGGTTTCAGCCAAGCCACTTTTGGAGAACGACACCGCGATCCCGCTGGTGACTCTTAACACGAGAGTCGTGAGTGCTGCTGGGAGATGGGCCTTGTGGTTGACTCCTGCTCATCTGGTCGCAGCCTCGCTCCTGATTCTCATGTTTCTGGTCTCCGTGTTTCTGGCCTTGCAGTACGCCCTGAAATACAGGAAGTATCAGATCGCAGAAGACCTCGACAGTCTGACGGATAACTCAGGTACCTACGCGCACTCGCGCGAAATACGAGCAAGTCCTTCAAATACACTACCAAAAAAGAATATCCTGAGTCGTGCAAAGACCAAATGATATTCTTTTGATATTCTCTTCAGCATGCAGCGGCTCGATGCAGGGCCTGGCGAGACGGGCAAGGGCCATGTCCTCGACGACTTTAATTTCCGAAGTCGTTTCTCTCGTTCGACTACCGAGAAGGGGATCTTCCAAGCACGCAAGGCTGGAGGAAACTCCTGGCGACGTTGAAGACGGCTACGAGAGCACGGAAACTCAAGTCGAGTAAGTATCCCCCCGTAAGTCGTTTAATTCCTTACTACATTCAATCTTTTTGGAAATGTCAAAACGAAAAGGGGTGGATTTTTATTAAAATATTTATACATTTTTAATAACATCCGAACGAAAAGGGAGCCTCTCCAATTTCGCCGGAAGGGTCCGCCCTTCGCATCGATCTATTTTTTCGTAACCAACGGAAGAGCCGCTCTTTGAGCGCAATTTAATTTCGACGCGTACATACGTACCACCCCGGAACATTGTTTTACGCGGAAAGGGTTAAAACGAGCAAAACGTTCGGTAAATGTTTTCAACCGGAATCGGTCCGAGGGAGTTGGCGTTGCTTTTGAAGGGAAGCCCTCACGAATGGAGAGGAAGTTCCTAAAGGTTCGAAATAAAATTATTCAGATGCGAGGAAGAGCACAGCTTAGAAGCGGGCACCCTGAAGCCGAAGGAGCCCGACGAGAACTCCCTGAAGACGATCACCCCCAGTGTCATGAGCACCCCGTCGAGGCGTTCTTCCTCATCTACGAGCACTTTGGCACCTGGACAACCCGAGGTCAAGTACGCCCGTCCAGTTAAGTAAGTTCGGCCTAGGCATGTCGCCTGTTTTCTGTAAAACACCTCATCTACATACCTTATCGACACGCTCGTTAGGTTACATCTTCACGGTAAGATGGATGAACCTACGGCGAATCTATTTCGATCCAACCCACGAAGACTACACGAGAAACGCGCAAAGACAACCTCCAGTTAAACGTCACACTAAGAATGTGCATGACAAAGGATAGACGTTGCATCCGTTGGGTCTCCCCTTCTATCTCTTCTATTTTACAGATACAATTTTAATCATATCACAGTTTACGATTAAACAATGAGGCGCGAATGAAGGATCTAGACCGGGCATTGAAATTGAGACATGCTTTATATTTTCATAATTTCAATCCTACATTCGTGGCTCCTTAATTTACTAAAATTCCAAAATTCGATATACTGCGTTTCTCTCGTCACCCGTTTACTTTTTCCATTTATACAAAATTCTGAGAGCTCACAAGCCACATTACGAGGGCAATTACGATTACAACCCTCTATGGTGCATGTACATACATGGAAACGCAAAGTCCAACATACAGCCTGACTACCCCGAGCCGCGATTAGCGTTGTAGAGGTAGCTTTGATGATGGAGTATCGCACGACTGGTTCGACTATGATAGTCTTTTCTAGTTCCTCTTCGACCTAACCATCCGTAGTCGAAGGATGCGCCGAATTCATGAAGACGTTTTCTTTTTAGGTTGCGCACAGTCGGGCCAATAAGCCCGGTTTCAGAAGAGGCATCAATTTCCGAAGGCAGCAGACCTTACAGCGGTACCAGTGCTTCGACCAGCCTGAATAACGTAAGAGTCCCTCACCCAAAACCATCTACCCTTCTGCAGGCCAAGGTACCTCATCAGTCTATATCAGCTACTCGCTTTAGACCCAGGCACTTGTTTTGCACCGATTAGCCGACCCATGCCGCACTAGTTATGTGCTTACTGCGTCCAGAATAAGTCATTCCCACCTACTAGATCCTAGTACTATTCGAGTATCAGGTACCAGGCCCTGAAGCATTTCATTTGTATTTCAAGCTACACAAAAGTGACGCTTCTTTGGCGGCTTGCGAACGATTACACGTTAAATGCGTCATAGACATTGATTCAAAGATCCTTCCTTTTTCCAGGGATTTTCTCCAGCAAGCACTTCGTCCAACGTCTCCTCCTTGCGCTGTGGGAAGGACTCGAAGGAGCGTCGAAATCGAGAACGTCTCCTTCAAGGACCAGGATCTGAATTCAGTCTGGCCAATCCAGACATGGATCTAGAGTTAGACTACTACGATTACAACGTGGTGAATGCCGGAGCAGCCCCAGGATCGTACCTCGGCATGGATCCTGCATTCCTGGTCTGGATACCGCCCTTGGCACCAGGAGAAGCCGAGATTCTGGAATCCATCGAGGAGGACCATCACTACGAGGAGATCCCCGATCGGAGGACCGAATTGGGATCGAAGGTGGCTTTGGATACGGAAGGTGCGGCACTGACGCCTTCGGAGTACAAACGAGCGAGGTCTAGGATGGACGAAGAGAGAATCGGCCAGGAAGGAGGTCAGCGAGGATCAAGGATCAACGAAATTCGGCCCAAACGACTGGACCCTGGTGAAAGTAGACTCCACGACGAGATAATCTCGGAGTACAGGGCGAGATTGAGCGAAGGAATGCTACCGATTCACAGGATCCTCGAGGACTCCAGGGTCAGGGTCAGCGAGGAGTCTCTCTCCAGACACGCCCAGGACGACGTTGTCCCGCTTCAAAGTGACGTTATCCCGAATAGATTGTTAGATGACATCGAGAAACCCGATTCTGTACAGAAGGGCGAAACGAAGTTCACTCCCAGGGCGACCAGGAACCGCATTATCGCGGAGCAGGAGAGGTCCAGGACTCCGAGTCTAACCAGGAGTCGGGTCCAGGACGACCACGCAAGGCCACGAATCGAATCGCCGAATAATTCGAGAATAGTTGATGGCTTGGATAGCGAACTGAAGGGATCGGCAGGGGCCTCCAAAGCGCGGTTTCCCGAGGGAAGGATCGAACAGGTGGAGAGGACCACGTCCCCGGCGCATATTAGGAGTCTTTTGCAGGAGAACCTTGAGCGAAATTCAAGGAATTCCCAGGCTAATCCCTCTTCCCTTCGGATAGGTGACGATGCCCAGAGAAATCGCGGGGATGAGGTCGAGGGCGGGAAAGTTTCACAGGTCCAACACAGAAGGAAAAGCATTTTCGAGGGATCGAAGTTGCAGAAGGGTGACGCTCCTGGTCGAGATCCTTCCCAGGATGGAGAACCCAAGGAAGAACCCGCTACGATCTCCAAGCCGAAACCTTTGAACCTGCTGCGGAGGCAAGAGGATGCCGCAGATTTAAATGCTACGAGCGGAAGCAAGATCGGCGGCACCGTGAATATCCCATTGAAGGAGTTCTCTCGAAACAGACTGGACTCTCCTGTTAGAGTCCACAAGTCGAAGGAGTACAAAAAGGACGTCGCTGAAAAGGAGGTTCTGAGTCCGGATTACGGCGTGGAGGTTGATATAAAGGACGAGGCCAGGGATTCTTTCTACGACTTGATAGGGGAGGGCCGCGACGGTCTCAAGTTTGCCGACGAGGATGACGACTACATTGATAATAAGATCACGGTTTGAGAGTTTATTTTCAGTGCGCTCGTCAAATTGGAGTACGATCATGATCGGTGTCTACGAAACGCGCAGCTCAACTTGGACATAGACTGAGCTGTCGGATAAATGGTATCACGCTGTTGGAGTACTCGATTTGTCACCGTTCGTATCGACTCGTAATGCGAGATCATGTAGCAACGTGACGACGATCATCGGAGCAGCTGAAAAAAAAAAACGAAGAACAGGCCGTATTCCTCGTTATTTTAGGCGCAACGTGGACCTTGGTAACCCACGCGATACCTCGTTGGGGTGATAGTAGAAATTATGCCGATCGATGTATTCCGTGGACCTCTCGTTCGGGCATTTTTGGTGCAATGTAACGTGTAAAGAATCTTGTACCTAAGGAACACCTAGTCGTAATTTAGTTAAATCGAATCGACCGATACGCCGACAGCAGTATACTTGATAGATGCGTCATATCATACTCTCGTATAGATTAAAGAACGTACATCGCGAGGACCTGGATTTATGACAGCCAAAATGCGGATTATCAGACCACTGCAAATGTTTCCCGGTGATCGTGGCAAGAAGAGGAAACGCATGATTCATTAATGATATTACATTCGTTTCCAAGGAATCTTCATTCCGGAACCGGTGAACAATTCTTTTCCTTGAACCGTTTTATATTTACATCTGTAAATATGCTTATCGATAGAATTGCATCGATAATAACGACGGAAGGAAATAGGAAATCCAGGTTCCTCGCCCTAAAGAAACTCAAGTTACAGTCACTCTGTCAAGCAATGTATCTTCTGCGAACGATCGCTCGCGATTTTGTTGAATTGAGAAAAAAAATAAACTGTATAGCCTGACATGAACGTAACAGCGCGACGGGCTGTACATTATTTTTTATTATTATTTTTTCTTTTTTCGATGTCTAGAAATTATTCCGCCAGTTACAGTATTACCAGTTTACGCACCTCTTACCGTATAACAGCCTACGTTAGTTCTTGGATCCATTCGAGGATTGTGAAAGAACGCGCACACTCAGTCTTGAATTGGATCAAACGTTAATATCTTTAGAGAATGATAAATCGTGATTTTAGCTAACGCAAGGTTAAAAGTATAAGTTTATGACCTAAAAGTTTGATTTCATATCCCCCTGTACACAGTGTAAAGATTCTGTGCAATTTACAATTACATCTCAAGCGTGGTGTCACGTTGAATAATGCGACCGGTGCATCTCGAGATGAAAAATCTGACGTGACGATAGTAACGGTATTAATTGGGTAAACCGTAAATCTCGTTACACCCTCATAAGACCAAATACATTTAATCGCGTCGTGTAGTAGATTAGGATTTGTCATATATATAAATATAATATATCGTTCCTGCCCTGATAGCGCAGTCCCAATGTGGAAGCTCTTCCATTAAGCGAAGATCCAAAGACTACTTGTAAGTTAAGTGTATTTATTTACGAACCACGACATTTATTTCTAGTCAATTATTTATTGTAAAAAAATGCATAATATATTATGAATGTTATCGAGAATTAGCCCCTGTAAGGTTATACATGTACATGTGCATATGTTTATCTGATATTTAATTGGGATCCTTTAAGTCGGCAAACAAGGTTTCGTGCTATTTCTCGCGGACGATCGAGCACGTTTCTTTAAACGATCGCAAAAGTCGTTAACAGACTGATTCGAATCGAGACTCACGACTTTGCGAAAATATTTTTTTACTTAGGCGCTCAACTTTCCGAGTTTGTTTTCGGCTTGAACTTCAATCGCGTCACTTAGTCCTGTTATAATTATTATGGTCTGATTACGCGATTAAGTACGGTGTATTTTGTAGTTGTTGATTAATAAAATATTTCCTACGAACTGTCTGTTAATGTGGTTATCAGTGGAAGGATCAGTCCTGGGCTGGATGATTATACAAAAACATTAGTAAACATAATTTTGTAGCTTAAATTATAAAATTTATTTTAAGTCATAGTTTTGTGTAAAGTGAAATAATGGAGAAATGAAAAACAGGTTACTTTCCCGTTACGGTCGCCAATGGATTTCTTAGAACCAAGATGACCGAATCACCTCGAAGGAACATCTTTGAAATAAATCTGTCCTTATTTACCGGCTTGGCCTGAAATTAAATAATCGGCCAATAACAACTAATTCATCATTTGGAAGAATTTTAATAAGCATGGAAATATTTCTAACCTTTTTCTTTCCTTTCCCTGTACGTGGAAGTTCCGTCCACATTTCTTTAACATTTTCCAGAACCATATTACAATGCCTGTCAAATGCTTTAACTCGTCCCAATAATTTCTTATTATTTCTACAATTAATCAGCACTTGTGTATTATTCTTCACGGATTGGGTTAAGACGGAAAGGGGTCCTGTGTTAAATTCTTCCTCTTCTCTCTTTGCGAGTTCTTCCGGCGTCATTTCAGACTTGGGTTTTGTTAACGACGACCTGAGATAATGAAGGAAACATTAAAAGAGTGTAGCAACCGATGTGTATTGTAAGCAACTCTTGCGATTGGATGCAGAAATAAAGAATGTAGATGATGATGATGTAGACGATACAGTGTCCAATGTTTCGCAACAGAAAAATAAAACATTTCTTCCATCAGGAATTAACGAAATTAATCATTTTAAAGTAACGACAGAAATTATACAACAGTCCAATAATTGCAAACTTGTTCAGATTCTTACAATATTCGGAATAGAATGATAATGAAATACAACCAAAACACAACAAAGGTTATGTTTTGAAAAGTCCAACTAATAAGACTATGTAATTAAATCGTACTTATAGTGTATTAAAAAATTGCAAAAGATACTCATTACTTACATATTAATAAAATATTATTAACTGCGCTAGAAACTTCTTTAATATATTCTTAAATTCAACCAGTAGCGAAGAATACACCTTTGCTTACAACTTGAATATAACACGACCATAGACAAGAGACGGACTGACACGGAATATGACAGAGATGAGTTGGGAGATTGCTCACGGGTAGGATCACGCGATCGGTACTGTGCTGCCCTCGATGGAGAATGTCGACGGCTGACAAACGTACCCCCCACGGTGACCCAACTCTCCCATGCTCCGCGATACGGTAAAATTCCATAATCGCACTTTCATCTCAAGTGGGTTTATGCGCCGAATTACGTATTCGCTATAGGAAAGAACGAGATCACTAGCACTTCCCGTCTAGTAATATTTGGACTGCTCATTTTTCACATTTTCGCTCAATTTGCTTTACATAATAGACCCCCTGCTCTGCAACTCTTTATTTCTGACCAATGTCGTCTAATGGAAAACGCCCGGCGACGCCGTGGACGCCATTTTGACTCGACCGACGCCTATACGATTTCGAGTGACACGCCAATGCGTTCCTCAGTGTCCACTGGAAAAAAATGGAGTTACCAATTACGTATTGTTTGTGCGGTCATTCATACGATACTGAACAATTTATGATACAATGTGACATATGTAAAGAGTGGTATCATGGGGGGTAAGTGTTGTTATCGTAAATTGAATGCGCGAAAATCGCCGCTGCTGAATTAGGTCGTTTCTCAGTACAAAGCCTGGACAAACGGTCACCGACAATTTTTAAGTTTAAATTGATGCAGTTGTATTTTTCAATGCTTTGCGCTTCCGTAAAAGTTTCTTCTGATCACCCTCCATTCATTCAGAAAGTATACGTGTTTAAATGAATGCACGAGGGGCAGTAGAACAGTTTTGTTGTTGTCAACATAACCTATAGACGTCGTTGGCCGTTTCATTCTTAAACAGAGTTGGTACAATATGGACTGATGTGCTAACATAAAAAAGCAAGAAAGAAGTTGATTATCCCAGATTTCCGAACGTAATGTATCGATATTTAATTTATCTTTCATGATGGACACTTTTTCCTGTGACACAGATGCGTGGCAGTGAAGGAGTATATGTCGATAGACCTTGATAAATATCATTGTCCACGTTGTGAGACCGCATGCGGCCCATCTCTCAGTAAGTTGTTATCGTTGTTAATTTCATTGATTAGTATATAATGCGTAGATACCTGGATTATAAAATATATTTTGTAATGTTTTTCTTAGTGAAGGCCAGGATGAATTGGCATCGACACGATTACTCTGAAATCGATGCGGACAGAAAAGCTGTGCAGACAGGAACTCCAGTGTTTATAAGAGAATTAAAATCTCGGCATTTTCCTAAAGCAGATGAAGTCGTTAAACAAGTTAGAGGTCAACAACTAACCTTACAATATCTACAAACCCATGGGTTTGAAACTCCAATCATTATCAATGGCAGGGATGGACTTGACATGACTGTACCACCTTCAAATTTTAGTGTTTACGATGTGGAAAGCTACATTGGTAAGATTATAACTAAAAAATGACATTTAGTTATCTTTAACCGTTCATTTGGAAATTATTTATAATTTCAGGTGGAGATCGAGAAATGGATGTAATCGATGTCACACGACAGAGTAATATACGAATGAGACTTAGAGATTTTGTTGAGTATTACAACGATCCTTCCAGAACGAGGGTTCTAAATGTCATAAGTCTTGAATTTACTAATACTGGGTACATTATATTAACATGCCATTTATGGCTTTAGATGTTCTTAAGAGTTATACATATAAACTGACAAATAAACGTTGCAGTCTTTCACCAATGGTCGAAGCGCCTTATATCGCGCGCAAACTTGATTGGGTAAATTCGGTCTGGCCACGTGAATGGCCTGAGGATAGTGAATTGAAACGGCCTGAAGTGCAAAAGTACTGCCTAATGGGTGTCAAAGATAGTTTCACAGACTTTCATGTTGATTTTGGCGGAACATCTGTGTGGTATCATGTATTACGCGGAGAGAAAGTGTTTTATCTTATTAAGCCATCGCCGGCCAATTTGCAATTGTATCAACACTGGATGTGCAGTTCGACCCAGAGTGAAACTTTCTTTGGAGACCAGGCTGACGCATGCTACAAATGCGTCATTAAACAGGGCCAAACTATGATGATACCGACAGGATGGATCCATGCTGTCCTAACACCCATCGACTCACTGGTCTTCGGTGGTAACTTTGTACACAGTCTTAACATTCCTATGCAAATACAGTGAGTCATAGTCTATTGTTCGGAAACATTAGTATGCATATTCTTTTGGATGAATCTGCGAATATATGCGATGATTTTTAGGGTGTACGAACTGGAGAGAAAAATGAAGACTCCTGCCAAATTTCAATATCCTGGCTTTGAAACAATTAATTGGTTTGCTGCAAAGAAATTACTCAAAGAACTCAAGGAATTAAACAATGAGGAGAAAAAATGTCCTTCCTATTTTCTCCAAGGAGTTAAAGCACTACTCAGTATTTTAAAGCAATGGAATACGGATAAAGATGTAAGTCTAAACAATATTTTTTCCCATAATTTCTATAATCTGATTACCAACATTAAGTTAATTGCATTGTTTATTTTCAGTACAATATGATAAGTCGCAGTCAAATACCAAACACCATTAACAGCCAGAAGTTACTGAAGGATTTTAGCAAGGAGATTCGACATGCAGAGAGATACTTAATATCTCTAAATCCACCAAAACCTGAACGAGAAAGTAAACGAAAAAAAAAGAAACCCGTAAACAAAGATTTCGTGGACTATGATGTTGCCGATAAAATGCCAGATAATCCATTCAAAGCAACATTAAATGAACCTATAAAACAGGAACTCTTTACGACACCTAGTGATCCTTTATCTGTAAACACGAACCGTCCTCCATTGAAATTAACATTGCCAAAACCAGTCATGTATCCTTATGTCAGAACGTGTGCTCTTCCGAAAGAAACGGCCGTTGAAAACAAACGTGTGTCAAAACCTGGAAAGCAAAGTCCTACCGTTATTAGATTCAAACTTGGAGACAACGAAGTGGTTAGAAGTACGAATGATAATATAAACAATTGTAGTAACTTTTCTATCGATCACAGTGTTGAAACGCCAAAAGAATTTACGTGGAAACAAACCTCAATTTATGATTTCCATGATGGAAGTAACGAGAGTGATTATGGAGGTTTCACTATAGACGAGTCTCCGAAAAGAAAGAAAACTTCTAAATCACCTGCGCAGAAGAAATTCAAAAAAGACTTTAAAGGTGACATCGATGTTTTGAGCGACGTACCTAAAAATGGCATCGAAGAATTATTGAAAGCATCAGCTTACACATTGGGTACTGCGGCACAACGTCTAGAAATTCCGTATGTTTTTGCCACTTGATAATTTTCAATTAGAATTAATGGAATTAGCTAACTATAATTTATAGTAATATAACTATAATTTTTTGTAAACCCTTTGATTTTTGTTCCTTAGAATTTAAAGTTTTGCAAGAAACACTGCAAGAAATGTACTTAGAGATATGCAGTCATTCTAAAAAATATTCAAACCATATTACTAATAAATTTTTCTAGGATTTAATTTGGCAATTAAAACCTGACGACATTCCTACGTAGAAGCAATAATCTATGCATTTTTTAGGCCTCCAACGGTGGTGCCACCTTTCACCCAACCAGTTCCTCCACCTACAGGGTAAGCAAGACAAACCATATAATTGTTGAAAATGTTGTGATATTAAAATATGCTGAGCTTCTTATATTGCGTGCCTTGGCTTTGCATTTCTGCCATTTTATTCTGTACATGGATAGCAGTGGCAATTCGCAAACCTATGCTGTTGTAAGATCATTCAAAATATACATCTTAGCTTCAAATGTTGTAAAGCACATTATTCATATACTTAATTTTCTAGACTTCACTTCATGAAACGTTAAGTTATCCTTATTTTAGGCTGATTTCACAGTTGTGTTTTGCTTTCTTGATGTCTTAGTAGTTATAAATTGAAAACGGCCAGTTCTGGCAGGGACTCACCGTCGACAAGAGAGGCAATTGCTGGGATGCTGTCCTTCAGTGAACAATGCTACTCAACAACATCGGACAGTCCAACGAAGTCTGCTAAATCTGTCAAGTCAGATTCGGAAGACGAAGACGATCAGCTGATAGAAAACATTGACAAGGTTCATCAGGATGACGATTTTAGTAAGCCTTGTGTTGTTTATGCGATGGTAATGATTCGAAGTTACCGTGGTATGGTATTAGACGCAACTCTAATGGCTTTGCAATTTATTTCAATAGTATATCCAGCTTTGGATGCATCGGATGAGGAGGAGTATATATTTAAGCCTCGAGGAAAAAGACGCGTCGACGAAGCTTGGAATCCTAAGGCCAGGGTAGGACCTCTTCTTCCAAAAACAAACAGACCCGCTCGTGAAGGGACGAAAAAGACTTCGGTTGAAAAGGGACTCGAAGCGGCTGCAGCTAAACGAGCTAAGCAACCTGTGAGTTTTCTCAGCATATTCAGACGCTCGTATTGTACAAAAGACACGATCTTGATAATAATTGTGCACCGTACAAATGCCATGATTATATTATTTTCCTGCTTACTTGGACCCATGGCAGGAAGACTGCGCAGATCTTGACTCGGATAACGTTTCCAAGAAAATATTGGTAAGGCCATGCCTTACCATGCATTTTAATTTATAAAATCTACAACATATTTTTTTAGTCTGATGAATTTACCTTAAAATGTCAATTTTCGTTATCAGAATTAACGATTGCCCCTATATTACGATGTTGCGAATATCTGGCATAAAGTTCCCTCCAAATAATACTTTGACATTATGTCCAAAAACAGTGTTCAGCGAAGAGGACGTACAACAAACGCAAGCAGAAGAATCCACCATTGGCATCTCCTGTTGCTACGGCAGCTGTACCAGTTGATAACATTGTTAAAAGCACGGGCGGATACGGATCGATCCTAACAAGTCCAAATAGGCTAAAGGATGTTAAAGCAAAACTTGCTGCACCTGTTCCAGTCGGTAAGTCCTATAAAATGGTTATACATGACTCACTTCCCGTTTTACGCTTGTAAACGTAGATTTTGCAAAACGTCTAACGGTTTGTAAAAATGAAGACTCGTGAACGAGATGCCCACTGTTGCTGGTGAATATATTAAAGTGTTCCGCGACCATTTTCAGAACGCAAACCGAAAAAAGGTATGAAAACGGCGAAGCAGCGGTTGGGAAAGATCTTGAAACTTCACAAAATGATGCATTAATCATTTTAACGGGGTAAGGAGGAAAGAACAAATTAAGAAAGGATACATCACTCGAATCTGTATAAAGAACAGTATGTAATAGGTGTACATTACAGTGTAAATATACCGTATTACCGACTAATTCGTTCGCGGAGAGCTGCCCGAGTGGATAAGTAATTTCTAAGGTGTAGAGAAAGTCTTTTTTTTATAAAATAATTTCTATTTATTACTCGTGTCATATACGTTTGCCAATGGCACGACGTGTGGCAATCAAACAGCTCAGTATTCCGATTGACTGACGGTACAGGGAGTTTTGCGTGAAACACGCACCTGTCGCAATTAAATTTTATAAAAAAGCACACGTTACTGTAACCTAGCAATTTTCAAGTTCCAGCTGCTTTTTTTTTTTAACTATACTACGAATTATAGTTGCATCTCCTGGGTCGGATGTAGTATCGATCGAAAGGAGTATAAGGCCTTTCCACTTAATTTATAATCCTCACAATCGTTGCATGGTTCCATGGTGTCTTGAGAATCAGGGAAACTTTAAAAAATAGAGGAAATGCAAATTTATGCATATAATGCACAGCTAAGCTGAGATGATAATGTTACTTGAAATAAGCCAGTTGTCTTTATCGTATAAGAATTTTAACGATATATTAAGGCCGTGTGAAATGTGTTACATCACCCTAAAACCTTGATTTTTAAATACTGTATTACAGTCGCTCGAAGAGTAAGATATATATATATATATTTGCTGGGTTAATAATTGCAACGCTGACGACTCGTCCTTCCTTAACCCTGGACACTTTGTTTTGGATGCTTTACTTATTACGTAGCGATACTATTAATACGGTGGTATAATCACGCAAAAATTTTCCTGGCTATTTCACACTGCCCTAATTGAATAAACTAATAGAAGATAGGCTGACAGAGGAGATTGATTAGCTGTCGTGTCAAAAGATGTTATCCCCGGTTTCACTGGACACTATGGGTTTGGTTAAAAGCGTAATAAATTAAAGGGCGGTTCTCTGGTGATGGAATCTCACGAATAATTATTTATCGCTTTCAAATATACTTCAAGGAGTGCGTATCAGGAAACTCAGTTTTCAAGTTAAAAGTCAGAAAAAATGTATTCGGTATAAGCAGTTGACTTTGTTTTCGATGATGGCACATTTACTGGTTAAATTTGATCCACTTACTCTCACTATATAACATACGCAGCACTTAAGTTTAATTTTACAATCGAAGATGTTATCATTTTATTGCAAACACACTATAAAAAAAAAAGAATTAGTAATTCTCTGCTAGTTCCATTTCTAAGAAAGGTTTAATTTTATTTACGACTACTTAATGCTTTAGCTATATTACGTGTAACTGATAATTGCTAACTTGTAAACTCAACAGTTTGTTGAAACGAACTCCAAGAATGCCATGCTGTAGTGAAACGTAAGAAATCTGTTAAGTTGTCCGTAGGCTGTAGAGAGGCTGTAGAAATTATACCTTTATTTTCGAGACTTTAAATCCGAATATATGGGTTTTTGTAATTAGTCTCTTTTCATTCTTTAATTAAATTGTACATAACTTATCTGGTGTAAATCATAGTCGTAGGCATGTTTTGTGCGTTTCACTCACGTTACTGGAGGCACTAATATATTTTAGGAAATTTAGACGTGGATTGAATCTTCTTCTTTTTTTTACTTTGAAAGTCCTAACTTATTAAAAATCGGTTTATTACTCCATTTACACGTTGCGCTTCTTACGCTTCGTACGAGTAATTTACGCTATTTATAATAGGTCATGAAAGCTCCGAGTAGTCGAGATAGTCTTAATATCATTGTCATCAACAGTACTGTGCAGTACATGTACATTAACGAGGAATGCGTTGAGAATGTGAGATTTTATATTCGCGATGTGACATGGCGAAGAAAGCTTCTCCGCATTCGTTCGATACGTTGCAATTTATTTCGAGTAGAACTATTGAATAATTTTACGCGTTTAAATATACAAAAAAATATATATATAATAAATATAAATATAAATACACACACACATACACACAGAAACTTAATATAAAGAAAAAGGTTGTGAAGCGCGTATCGCTCTTACTATTGCAGTTATTATTTTTTAATAATTAGATCACGCGGGGCTCCGAGTAAAATATAGCCACGCCGACGTGAATCTATTAGTAGACACTCGATAACTTTTGTCGACGTATAAATAGTTAACTTCGTTTTTTCGTGGAAACTTTTAAAAACTTTTCGAGCTCTTTTTTACAGAATATGGATATGCATTTTTTCCTGACAACAGACTTCATTTATTCGTGCTGTTTTTACCACATTGGCACTTTTCTTACATACAACTTTACGCGAATTTCCGTAAATTAAGAAAATTACAGAATACATTGAACAACGTTACACTGTACATTTAACAATTGTACGCATAAACAACGAAAGAATATGTCGGATCGGCTGAATGTGTTTTTAACTTGCACCTACTCATTTAATTAAATTTTCTAATTTTTTTTTTTTATTGTTAAACAATCGTCATATTACAAAATTTCCATAACTCATGAATGTCGTGCATTTATATCGGACGACTCTTACATCCTACACGTACCGTCGATTTACGGTGTACGTACATCAAGCGGATATTACTTGCGTGGATTTAAGAGTATAACTATACAAATATACATACGTATACATATATACATATATATACATATATTTTTTTACAGACAATTTTCTTCATTTCGTTAGTTAGTGCTCCAAGTTCTGCAAATGTATTTATTCTATTGTTATTTTGATGTTGTCGAGTATTAAATGTGACTAAGCGTGTAGTAACAGTTTTCTACAACGGCGTAACGTTAATGAATCTACCGTCTCATCGTATCGTCAGCTAATAAATAACGCGATTACTCGAACTACTTTGAAATATACGTGGACTTGATAGTGTTAAACGACATAAGTCCCATTAAAATCATTTTTCATAGACAAGCTTTATTTCTGTGTGGGCTGTTAAATCAGCTGGTAAATACAATTTTGGTACTTAAGACGTTTAACATATGGGATCTTAAACAGGTCATATGAATTTCCAATCTGGACGTATGCGTGGAGTGGAAGTGCTAAATGTCCTAATATTATACTTTCTTTTACATACATCGGATTTTCCAAATGTTTTACCTCCGAGTCTCAACAAATCTATCACGGAAAAGGAATTATTTGTTGCCCGAATCATTTGACATTTCCACTTTTTGTAAATAAATGCGATTGTCCAACTATGAAATATATAATTGTACAACACATCTAATTAGAGCTCATTGCCTCGAATATAATCGGCATTTGATAAAGTTTAAAATGTATTCATTAATAGGTACAAAACGATTTGCGAGGTATTACGAGTTTAAATGAAAGTTCACTGTGGTTAGCTCGACCAGTGATCAAATTTGTGAATACAACTTATAACTGTGATATGTCGAAATTTCAATAGCATTTTGAAGAATTTTAGTATGTTATCCAAGAAGTTCCATAGTAATGCAAAAGACCAGGTGCTATTACATACAAAACGTTATAATTCTAAAATCTATATACTTTCAAAAGGATCAATAGTCTGGACATTTACTCTTGTTTCTTTCATTTCATCTAAGGTAGCCTGTAATCCAGTAAATGTTTGCGACATAGAATTCAACACTCAAAACGTAATAAACATTCATTCGGTGATCCTATGTTAGCGTTACGCATCCAATAACAATTCACATTGTTCTGCCATTCGGTTTACATTCCACTGACTTTGTTCTCTTTGGCGACTTCATGAAAAATTAACAGGGAAAGCTGGAATGTGTGACACAATTTATTGACGCTCTTCTCTCTACAGCGAACATTTCTTAGTTTAGCTTCGAAGTACAATCTTTCAAGGAAAGTTAACAATCATTTTTCTTGTAGACAAATCATAAAAGTCTGTAATAAAAACAATTTTATCACGAACGCCTAAATGATTTACATTCATAAACATCTTATACATTTTCCCTTTTCTTTATTAACTCTATTTTCAAGGAGAACTGTCGACTTAATACACGTATTGCGAGACGCTCCTAAGGATATCGAGCAATATCAAGAGAATATTAATACTTGATATCGCTTTTCTTCATTAATAATTCATTATGGTAGAAAGAATGGTGCCGTGCGATTGGCTGTCCAGCCTGCGACATGGGTCAATGATCGCCAAATGTTTAATAACATCAGCCAATCGAAATCGCGAACCATGCACTGGCCTTTCCTCCGTCCACCAGTTGGCGCTGCGATCATCTAGAGGAATAGTCATTCCCTCGAAAAATTCGCAAATTTAAACGACTCGAATTGGCAAGATTGCGTGATGCGGCGTGAACGCAGAGAAACGAGGCGCGCGGATTCCGATAATTTCGGCGCGGGTCGCCGCGCGGCGCTACCGGTCAGCGGCGCGTCAGTCACAGGCCGACCGTCATCGCGTGCGGTTCGTTCGGAGCGGTCGGTTTTCCGTCGCGTTTACGCACGTGTGGCGGTTGTTCCGGAATCCGAGGGGCCCCCTGGGGGTGGCAGTCGCGCGCACCGGGCGTCGCAGCAGCGACCGGATCGCGGGTTATGTGCCTTCCTTAGAGTGACAGTGCGTGGACACGCGGTAATAGCGTGCCTCGAGTCGAGCCCCGGCGCGGATCGATAGGAAAGCGGGAAGAAGCACAGCGAACCAGCGAGATGAGCTCGCCGCCGCTCTTTCCGCTGATCCTACCAATCAGCTGACCGGTCTACCGGTCGCCGGGGGTGCGAAGGCGCGAGACCCACCAGCCGCCGCGTGTCTGACAAGGTAAGTGCCCCCACCTCGCCCCCTCGCCACGCCTCCGTCGCACCCGCATCCCAGCGGTCGTTCCCTCTCTCTCCACGGCCTTCTCGAAGCGTCCATTGACTCTAGAAATTTGACCGAGGTTGAAATTTCCCAGTGCAATAAAATCACTTTCTCTCGAATAATTATTTTCATTTCCCATCACTCCCGAAAGAATATTCACGCGTGGCATGAATTGCGCTTGCCCGGATGTACTTGCAGTTAACATGCCTGTTTTAACTCGGTCTCGCCAAATCTGGGCCGGCGACTACTCTTTCCGAGTACGTACCCTAAGAGCCGTTTAAAGGAATGAGATGGCAGATTCTTAGAACGTTCATTTCGAGTCACTAGGTCTGGAGGAAACGCATTTTCAGACACCTTGTGCCACCTTTGCAGGGCAGCCGGTCGATTTTTTCAACGCTCGGCAGTCTGGTCGCGGGAACGTGTCTCTTATAGAACCCTTTACTCGGTTTGGGCAATTCGTTCCCTTTATCGATGCGAAACTTCGAGAGCGCCGAAGTCACCGAAATTCCAGACCGCACGTGGGAAAAATTGGCATTGGAATCGAGGTTAGAGGGAACTTGGTGGGAGATTGCGGGCGAAACGAAATATCCTCCGAACAAAAATACACCGTGGGACGAGGTCGAGATCGTAACTACTTTCAGGGCGATTTACCCACCCGGTGTACTGCAGAGGAGTGAAAAATTTGGAATATCAAAATCCCAGGAATTTTAACCGAGTTCTCGAATCGCTTTTATTGGACATTGCAAGTGGACACGGTGAGCCAGTTGGCATTATCGGAGCAGCTTGTTGGAAAAAAATCCGAGATCCGTTTCGAAATCTCGGGAAGCAGAAGGTCGCGACTCGGCACGTGGTCGGTCAGATCGGAGTTCCCTTCAAGCGCGTCGGGTGGCACACAGAGTGCGGCACGTCACGCTATTTCGCATCGGTGGATGTCGATACCCATTTTAATGTACTTCGGTATACAAAACTTGCTCTCAGTTTCTTTCCGTCCGCTGATTAGCGCGTTATTGCCTTTGATCGCGATCGCGACGATTAATCGCAGTAATCGAGAACTGGTTTTCTCGATCTCGCTTTAATGGAGGAAATACTTCTGGCTGGATTATTCTTCCGGACCTGAGTGGCACTTTCGAAGCGTCGATCGGGTCGAGCAATTACGGAGGGTAATTAGGAAGTGCGGGTTAAAAATTTCCGGCGAAGTCCACGCGATACCGAGCTGCTATCTGCAAGCCCGAATGATAACGCACTAGACGAAACGGCCTTGATTTACTCCAAGTGCATTTGCAGTTGCAACGGTAACGCGATCGGTCTTTGTTCCGACTATCGATACTCGACTTTTGGGGATCGAAGCCAGTATGGTCATCTTCCGGTTCGTGCCTAAGCTATACCTTTATTTTATTAATTCCCGATGACGTACCAACCGAAACGACCTTCATTTACTCTAAGCGCATTTGCAGGTGCAACGGTAACGCGATCGGTCTTTGTTTCGACTATCGATAATCGACTTTAACGAATCTAAGCCACTATGGTCGTATTCCGGTAGGCGCCTAAATAGTCCCTTTATTTTATTAATTTTCCGGCGAATCTGGCGAACTCGCGAGGTCCCCGTATTTTGACGTTAACCTTGCGGCTTTGTTTGGTTGTTGCACAGTGATATGCTGATTGTTTGGCGCAACGCCCAGCGTTGCCTGTGTTGCAACGGGCAGCGCACCGATCGGTGCTACCAGTTGCGACAGCGACTCCATCACCGCGTCCCGATCTCCGAGAAGCTCGACCGACACCAACTTGTCGACACCTGGTGAGTCCTCTGCCCTCCAACTCATAAATGGTTGCCCTCCAATGTCCATTCGTACTCTTGCTGCTTACCGCCGCTCGGTTTCAAGTTGTCTCGACTTACCCGATAAGATGCGCTTACATCGAAAAATATTCCTTGGATACGAGGTCATGTCGATTAAAAACCAAAGGACCGATTTCCTGAGAAAATATCGAATCCTAATCGAGCCCGACAAGAAAATCGCCTGTACGATGCTATCACGCCTTGCAGCGCTGTCCATCCGGTCGTCGCGTTTCAGGGGTTCCTACTATCCGAACCGCGTTCTTTACCGGCCTTATGGATGCATTTCCCCATTTAGGTTCGAAGCTATATATATTCCTCCCCACCCCTGCATCTCTTTCTCCGACCTTCTAGTATGTCTTTTTTTTTATACCTCTACACATTTAAGTTCTCAGCCACTCACTTGGGACGAAAGTCAAATGATATTTTTCTCACTTTTCTTTCCTAAGAGTCTTCTTCGAGGAATCTGGAAATATAATGACGAGCCGCGTTTCTTAGACCACGTGGTCTCACTTAACTCATCGTGACGAGGCGAGGACTCGCTTAGCACTTGTATCAAAAATCGCGACTACGTAATCGGTAGAGGTTCAACGCTGACTAATCCGCGACACGTTCCGTCGATGTTTGATGGGTTCGAAAAAAAGTCGACAAGTTCTTCGAAGAAGAGCGACGGACGAACGTGACGTCCGGGCGCGAGGTGCGTTTCGTGCGACGCCGCACGGAGTCCGTCGACGGGCGCCGGATTTCATCAGAAGTTTCGA